TGAAAGCTACCTCCCAACCTATGGGTAGGGAGAAGGGTCAGAAGAGGAAGGGGAGGGTGGCTCGTTTTACCCGCTGGAAAATTGAGAGCTCCTTTTATGAGTGTGAGTTTCATCGAAACCCGTCTGACCTAACATTTACTGGCCGCCCCGCAACGAAGAAGGATCCCGTCTGAGTGAGATCGAAACCCATCACAAGAGGGGTAAGACAAGTCGAAGCAATGAAAGGAAACCACCACTCATTTGTAGAAAGTATGAGAAAGGTGGACTTTCAAAGATGGAGTAGCTTTCACGATTACTGCTTATCAGGGTATAGTGTAGTGGTAATGATTGGTTATTGATTGATAGGTTGATATAGCTAATTCCTCAACTTCTAACTTACTCAGGTGCGGTGTAGCAATAATGCGCTTTATCGTGTGAGGCCTGTCTACCAGGTGGTCGAGACAGGGCAGTGCAAGAGTTTGATAGTGACACGATTGATTGGTGAGTGCTAAGTATGACTATGATCGATTGATCCTGAAGAGTTTATAGAGACACGATAGATTGGTAGCATGATCGATTGATTTATTGATGATTTATTGATAGCTATTCATTATCGATTGGGTCTAAAGGCTGAAACATGTAATCATTCCTGGGTAGAAATTTCCCATCAAAATCAAAATGGCATCGGGCTACTTATTGAGGTACCCTTCACTACATATTTAAGTAAGAAACTTGTTAGTCGATAAATGACCGCCTCACATGGGTGCAAGTTGAGAATGAATATCGATTACACAAGCGTAAAATCGATACAAACCACACTACACCAATCGATGATGCATTTTGCAGGTCCTCCTAGTCTAGATCGGCTAACAATACAATATTTGCCAACTACTGACATAAACTGTAATTTAATAGATTTCTTCAAAGATGCTATGAAAAAAGGGGTTAAGATCGATGCACTCAGGATTATTCTTAAGGTCGGTGTTCGATTTTTCTGAACTNAGCGTAAAATCGATACAAACCACACTACACCAATCGATGATGCATTTTGCAGGTCCTCCTAGTCTAGATCGGCTAACAATACAATATTTGCCAACTACTGACATAAATTGCAACTTAATAGATTTCTTCAAAGATGCTATGAAAAAAGGAGTTAAGATCGATGCACTCAGGATTATTCTTAAGGTCGGTGTTCGATTTTTCTGAACTCTGGATCACCACGAAAAAGTCTTTGTTTCAGATGAAAGAAGAGGATAATTTTTCCAAGGATGCTACGTACTTATGAATAGGGACGAAGAAATTTTATAAACACGATCTTATGTTCATATTATACATAGTTTGGCTTTTCACTTAGAACAACTGTGTGTGGCAGTGTTTAACAGTAAAACATGTCGTTTTTGTCTGATGTTCCATGAATACGAGAACTTCCTTGCCTAGGAAGACCGGAAACAGAGCCCTTTTCCTGGAGTTCGACCTCCTTCCCGTTGTGATCGATGCAGTTCTTATCTGGGAGAAAAGGCGGCTGGCTACCTTTCGGTGGTACTTCGATTATTATTACTGAACTCAAAATCTCCTGACATGGGTGAAACAATGAGCTTCTCGGGAGGAAGTTGGTGGAAATGTTGGGAATCCAGATTACCGCTCCCTCGTATACCCTAGCATATCCGGTCACTTACTCTCCTTATTTGACCATACCGCCCGAACTGTCCACCCATATTCAACACCTTCCTCATACGAGTTAAAATCCAGCCATCCCGCTGCTGGAATTCATTGAGACTTTTGTCAAGATTTTGTCCTCGTAATCCCTTCTGAGCGGTTCGATGCACACCTCCTTTGTAGGCATCATGGCCACAAACAAACAGCTCGAAAATTAATCTCAATCTGATCAGTACGGTACGTTATCATGAGGTATCCTGATATGGTATGAGCATACAAACGAGTAGCGTTATTCTGTTATATTTCTACGGAAAATTCTCGAAGTATCCAGAGGATATCTTTGTTTTTGTGAAATTCATTACGATACGTTCGGAACTCCTAAAAGTACCTTTCCCGTTATCACTCTGTTCCACAGGTCAGTTCCATGTCCGTGACATCGCCTGTCAAACTGTCAACCAGCAAAGTAATGATTGATAAGAAAACTGCCAAAGAAAATCGAAAACTAACAGAAAATATGTCTCAATAAACTGACGTCTCAAATATCATAATAGCATTGTTATTGTACTTTATCGAAGTACCGTCTATTATCATAAAAATGTAGTGATAGTGTCGCTTATCGCTCACGAGGGGCGCTATCGCTGTTGTCGTGGTACCTTCTCTGAGCAAATTTAGAAGATGGGCTAGTGCAAGATATGAAAAGTGCGTCAACTGTAGGGGACCATTAGTATTGCCGTTTTATGGTGTACTATAGTTTATTGCAGTTTATTACCCTTCTTTTACTAGTCTCCATAGATTTGTTCATCCTTACAAATGTAATCTCGAAGGGAACTTCCATGTAACAAACCAATCAATAAATAAGCATAAATAAGGCAAACAAATTTTCAAGTTGATATTTTCACCGTCAATCGGTGTCTATCCGAGGAGGGCCCACTTCTTCCACCTACCTTCGGAATCGTGGTAGTGTTTGTATGCGTATTGGGCCTATACAGTATCTTATGAGGGCCAGCCGATGTACAAGGCAGTGTACTACTCTCCTACATGAATCCAGTACCAGTTGGACGACCCAAAGGGACAGAGAGCTCGATTGGGCTATGTTGCTTTCGGTCTAGGGACTGATCCCCAGGGCGTTCGTGTGGAGACGCACCACCTGTCATACCACACTTCCTCCTTGCGATGTAAATTCGAAATAAATGGAACGATATGAATCCAGATCGGTCCCGCTACTGCTCGGAGTCCCTTTTCCACTGTAGGGTGCAGAGGTAGGAATTTCGACTGCAAACCCCTCTATCGAGCATGTAATTGCTGAGACCGCCAGTGTGTGTCGTACACCTCGTGACGATACATAACGAGCGTACGATCGTATGATAGGTTGTACCTTTGTGTCCGGGCGCATCATTCGTACCACCCGCCCTTGGCATGCACTTGATACGTCATGATCTTCGTACAATCGTAAAAATCATCTAATCGATTGTGATACAAGGGGCTGTATTGATCGGTAAATCGTTCCTGGCGTTATCGTTCCAATCGTATCTTCTGCGATATTAGTCTTCTTCTTCTTCACCACGTCACAGATGATTCTTATCAGCACGGCGTCCATGAATGGAATGTGACAGCATCCTCAGTAGTGCAGCAATGATG